GAAAATATGAAAAAGATATTAGCATTCAGTCATAACGCCACTACAAAGAAATAACTACTATTAGTCTTATATTTCTTTCCTATCTTTATATGCATATATATTTAATATATCTGAGACTACAGTTAGATGTACAATTTGGAATCCTTCCTTTTCCAAATAGTATTATATTATAAAAATTGTTTCATGTCATTAAAAAATTCTTCTTAATTGTCAGTCTGAATGTCTACATGTATTCCAATATATGAACATACTGTAATTTAACATTTCTTTATTTATTATGCATTATAATGCTTTGATAGTAAAGATTCACATGTTGGACTTTTATATACATAAATATTTATCTTCATCTCCAAGTTCCTTAAGACAGATTCTTGGAAATACAGTTACTGACTGAAATATCGTGAACATTTTTAGAACTCTTCATCCATATTGCCAAATTGATTTTCAGAAAGGACATGCCATTTTATGCTATCTATGGCATAGCTACAGAGAATCCATCTCATCAGACTCCTGCCACCAGAGCATAAGAGAAAATGATCCCAGCATATCATATAGTCTAATAATGTCTGTTAGCTTTCACTTATATTAGTAATAATAGGTTATGCTTCATACTAGCCTTTAGATATAAGCAGGTGCTGAGCTTAAAAGAATTGAATGTGAAAGATACTGACTTATGGGAGTGTGTGCAAAGGCCATAATCCTCAAAATCTGACATCCCTTAGCCTTACACAATCCAGACACTTAACGTGTCTTATTCTTAAAATGTCTGTTATTTCACCCCATTAAAATATAGCAGGAAGGCAATAAAAGATTAATTTCCTAATGAACATTTAATTGCCACTACATACAGGAAGGAGTAGCAATAAAACTTGATTTTAAGACAGTTATGAACTGCAGCTAACTGGCCTAGTGGGGACTTTGAAACAAACAAACAAAAATTACACAGCATAAGAATTTAAACTCCCTCTCTGAACTGAGAGGGCAGTTAGTTACCGGCAAGAGCTGTGGAGTCAATCATAACTTTGTAAGCCTCCTTATAGCCATGAAAACTTATTGTTGTGTAGGAATGAAGCGAGCATCAGATTTACCAGCTAGAAGGCTGCTATAGTTAGTATATGTGCCCTACTCAAAGGCCAGCAAGGGCAGGGGTTGTTAAGGTTTTGATAAGTAGCGTAATTGGACCACCCATCAGTTGCCCGGAATGACTTAAAATAGCCCTCAATTCTATAGAGCAGTGGGGCTGATTCTGAAAGGGCAGAACAATAGGAAAAGTCAGGCCAAAAATACAGCCCAGGAGGTTCTGGGTGTCTTCATTGGGGGCACTACTGGTGCTATTTCTAAACCTTAATATGACCCCTCATCTAGCATTTGGGGAAGTGAGATCTGACAGCATCCATGATTTTAGAATAAGTTTTATAGGAGGTGTCCATTCAGCAAATTTGAGTGACTATTAGGTGCTGACAATTGGGGGGGTTCTGTATCTCGTAAGGCAAATGGCCTCTGATCTCAAGGAGTTCACCTTGTAGTAAGGTCAAAGATTACAAACATAATTATATTACAAGATAATTCTATATAATATCAGTTTCCATGAAGTGCAGAAGGTGAATAAACCACCTTAAGTTTTCACAGAGAAAGAAGCATCTGACCCAAGTCTTGGATAAATGGGAACTTAAAATGTGGAGAAGCAGAAAAGTGTTCTTCTAAACAGTGAAAACAGCATATGTAAGTGCACTATGCATGAGAGGACAAAGTATTTTCTGGTAACTACAAGATATGTCAGTATTAGAGCGAAAAATAAGAGCAAGGGCATCTGGAGTTTTGGACTGGGGTCAAAAAAATGCCTCTTCGGGACTTCCCTGGTGGCACAGTGGTTAAGAATCTGACTGCCAATGCAGGGGATACAGGTTCGAGCCCTGGGCCAGGAAGATCCCACATGCCGCGGAGCAACTAAGCCCATGCGCCACAACTACTGAGCCTGAGTCTAGAGCCCTTGAGCCACAGCTACTGAAACCCATGTGCCTAGAGCCTGTGCTCTGCAACGAAGGGTAGCCCCTGCTCGCCACAACTAGAGAAAGCTCACGTGGCAATGAAGACCCAACGCAGCCAAAAATTAAAAATTTAAAAAATTTTTTAAATGCCTCTTCCTCCATAACTCAAGTAGCATTCTTTACCTCAGCTATCTGTTAAGTGGAAAAAACACTGACATAAATGGGATGCTTGATCGATTGAAAAAGGGACCTGAGTGCCGTTGTAGTAGCTATTTTAATAGTCTTTGTTTATTTGTCTGCTCCTTGTTATTATACTCTATATAGATTGTATGATTTACGTAGACCAAACAGCAGTAAAATCACTGGGGAAAGTGAAGTCTTCATATGAAATGCATACAGTTTGCTTTGTGAATTTAACAAATTCCTTTTCCCTCCTTTTGCCTCAAAAAGAGTTGGGAAGTGTCTAACTGATCTTGCTCAGCCCAACAATTAATCCTTTGATAGTTCTAATAGCTTGTATCTAGGAGCCTTATATAACCATGTCATTTGCTCAGTAGAGGGGAAGGAATGTTAGATAGAAATAAAATATTCTGGCCTTTTTAACTTCTAGTATTTCATTCTCTATATTCTAAAACTAAACTCTCCACCCGATTCTGGACCTTTCTGTTCATGAAGCTACATCTTTTATACAACCCCATTTAAAACAACGATTAATAAATTTATTTGTATTTCACAGTCTGGGATGGCATTCATATTGCTTTTCACACTAAACTCAAACAACATATTTTAAACTACAAAGACCTACATCAGGCTGTAAAATATGACTTAACATTTAGCCTTTGGAAAAGAAGATTGAACAGAAGGAAAATTCATGAATTTATTTATTGTTTTTTGCCCCATGTTAGTCTCTTATTTTGCTGCCAGTAAGATATATATTATCCATATATCAGCTGTTATTTAGCTTACATTCTGAGACAAATATTTCTCTGACAAGCTTTTATGGTGCCACAGAATTGAATTTTTATAGACAAATAAGTGTTTTAAGAATGAGAATGACATCATAGGAAGGAAACTAAACAAAGTTGGGAAATCCAGGTTCAAGTTCTGGGTTTGCACATAACCAGCTATTTGTCCTTGGGTATGTTGCTTAACCAAGAGCTCTTGTCTTTAGTATTTATTGCTTTAACAAGAGATTTGAACTAGAAGACCTCTAAATTCACCAAATATATGGCCTGACTTTTTTGGAACAATATTGATTTCAAATCTCTTGTGACTTCAATGTTTGTAAATAAAAAATATCTCATATTACAATGTTTGAGGCTCTTTTCACACCTGGAAATATTGTAGAAATCCTTTATTAAGTGATTTGGTCTTGATTTGGGAAATATAGTCCTACCATATCTTTATTCGTTTCCCATACTAAAATTATGTGATTCTAGGATAGATCCAGAGCAGCATCCCATTTCATATCTACTATGCCACTGCCTTCTCAAGCCATTCCTCTCCTATATTTTCAGCCATTTTTCCATTTAACTTTTCTACTTAAACAGTAATTATCTTCAGAAGTACATAGTTTATCTTTTTCTAAAGTAAATATAAATTATTTTAACTTGTGATGATTTTTGTTCAGGACAGCTAGATTGAATGCTTACTCTGTGTAATATTTGTGGGATTTAGTTACAATTTTCTAGGGGATTTGCCTTTATTATCTCTGTGTTCCAGGTCTTGCCTGAAATTTAGAAGCCCCTTTCTTCCCCTTCCTTTCTGGTGCTATCAGTGGTGGTGATCACCTCTGAGGAAGAAAAGCCCACTTGCACTGACCATGGAGAACACTCAGCATCTCTGCTTGATTGTGACAAGGGCAGTTTTTGGATGGATCATGAAATGCTTCTAAAGTAGCCAAGAGTTAACTTTCGTAACCTTTTTATATAATAAGCATGTTACCACCAAGGTAACTTACCCAGTGAAATCAACTACATAGTGGAATCACATTATTTACACATTTAACTTATATGCAAATACAACTCTACTACAACACAGAAAGAGTGAGAGAGAAAAATAACATTTTACATAGTGCATGCACATTCAGCCTTCCTTTTCAGTGAGTCCTAGGCAATGAATGAAATTAAATCTGAAACAGTCAGTTCATATAGGTGAAAGCTATAGGAGAAGGTCTCCTAGTAATTGATAAATGTTCAGATGGCCAGGCAACTGGGTGGGAGAATTTCCTTGTCATTTACAAGGGTTTTTGAAGGTTGTTGAGAAGCTACACTTAAAAATCAGAGAAACTGACAAAATCCTCTACAAAGAAAGACATGAAGAGAACAAGTTGAAACTTTTGTAAATTTACTAAGTATTCAAAGGAATGAAACACCTGATTGATTAAATTTCTGAGTGTTCTTTATGGGTTTTCAGTGGTTATTTTTACCATACACTATTACCCCCTTACAACCTGTCCCATAAGTAAGATGCTGACTATTGTACAGATACAATAGTATCCATTGATTTAGTTTGCTAGTATAAATTGAGTACGATAATGGTTAATTTCATTATGAAGCCAATTCGTGGCTGATAACTCCATTTTTTAAAAATGTGGGCATGAACTTCTTCCTTGCAGTAGAAATCTTTGAATTTAAAATCTAGATTCTAGGGAATTCCCTGGTCCAGTGGTTAGGACTCAGTGCTTTCACTGCCATGTGCCTAGGTTTGATCCCTGGTCAGGGACCTAAGATCCCACAAGCCGTGTGGCGTGGCCAGTAATAATAATAATAATAGTAATTTTAGATTCTATTATAAAATGACTATTTCTTGACCATCCTAGTACTTTATGCCATGTACATTATTTTACTTTGTGGGTTTTTTTCCACCCAAATCCACGGCTTACATAATTACTACATTGAGATTGCATAACTAACGACCAAGTAAAAATCAGTAATTGGATAAAATGTTCATTAAAACATTTTTAAAGTTGTACCAAATATGTGAAATACATTTTTTTCTGTGATCACACAGGTGAACATGATTAAAGATGATGGGACAGTTATTCATTTCAACAATCCCAAAGTCCAAGCTTCCCTTTCTGCTAACACCTTTGCGATTACTGGCCATGCTGAAGCCAAACCAATCACAGAAATGCTTCCTGGAATATTAAGTCAGCTTGGTGCTGACAGCTTAACAAGTCTTAGGAAGTTAGCTGAACAGTTCCCTCGGCAAGGTAGGTATTTCATTTTAGTACCTCTTTCACTCCTCACCTTACTTAAAGAACCTAATGATTTAAAAGGTGTGTCCATTTTATGCTAGAAGGATTTGCCTGTACATAAATTTTACTTTTTGTAATATTGTATGCTTCATAAATTTTTGAGTTTGTTCCTTTAATAATTATGCTGTGTAGCATGTAGAATATTCAGATACATTTTGGTGGTAATATAGAGTGTTGGGAGGTAATTACCTAAAAGGAAAGTTCCAGGATCTGCAGGCCACATTTTATAAACAGTTGATTTGGTATTCACTTCTGACTAATGGCAACAAGACGATAATGTTATCACAGAACTATATTTTCATTTAATATTGTTGGTTGTGCTATAGATGCAGCAACCGTAAGTTCTGAGTGTCCAAGATAGTTCTGATTTCAAATGTGTCTTGTCATCCCTAAAAAATCAGAGCCTATTAGTTCACTGCTAATACTACAAAGCTAGATAGTTTTACACCAAAAGAGATGGAAAAAATCTTGAATGTTGATTTTTTATTTGGAGAATATGGAATTTGGAGAATTAATTAACTATAATGTCTTTATTTAAACTCACCTAAATTATTCCACTTTGCATGTAAGTTTTACCTTTACTACCCATTGAAATTGCCACCCGTATTTAGTGTATATCTAATGAAGTTAAACTTTTATTAATTTTAGTATCAAGTAAAAAATATGGCATTTAGATTAGGCAATATTTAGCTTTTTCTGAACAGCTATGTAAGATTTGTTTCTAGAACTATGTAGACAGGAAAAAAGCATAAATATTACAAGTGTTTGGTAAAGGTCTTTGTTCTCAATGGCTAATTTTAAAATAAACTTTTTGTAGTGTTGGATAGCAAAACACCAAAACCAGAAGACATTGATGAGGAGGATGATGATGTTCCAGGTAGGTGACATTTCTTTAGTTTTAAGATTTTTAGCATCCTGTTTATCTCATTTAATTCATTGCATGATCATTTTTCAGTTTTTTGTTAATGGTGAGCTTGTGAATTTAAATGGATTCACAACGATGTGCATACGATCTAATGAAACAGGATAAAAGCCCTCCCGTTCAGAACTTAGAAATTGTCACACAAAGCTCTGCTGCATTTATTAAATTGGAATCTGCCTTTATTAAATTGGAATCATTGTGATTATAAATTTGCATAGTTATTGTTACAACATTTCTGTAGGAATTATGATTGACATATGAAAATGCTAGTCACCTTAGTAGTTTGCATAGGCAAAAGAAGACTAACATTTCCTTAGGGTTTCGGTTTTAAGCAGATAAATGAAGCATTATTAGTGAAATGCCACCAATCATTTCTGCCTCTTATATGTTTTCAGGCTAATTCTAGTAGCAACAATTTTGTTTTTATTGGGCTAGAAGTTAGTAATTGCATTTTTACCTCTTTGTCTTTTTTTGTATCTTTAACTTATTTACTTTTTTTTTCAGATCTCGTAGAAAATTTTGATGAGGCATCAAAGAATGAAGCTAACTAAAATTTTTTCTGGTTTTTGGAAGCTGGCATGGACTAGATTTAACAAATCAGCTATGTGGTTCCAAAGTTTTACAGACACGGAGAACATCAGCTGTTACTAGTTCAGTAATATAAATATTTTGTATATTAATAATGCTGTTTGTTCAGCATTTTTCGATCATTTGATTTTGCATTTTGCACTTCCTCCCAGGATCTATTCTTTTGGTCAAAATACGAAGTGTTGGTGCAGTTTGAGGGTGTTTTGGGTTTTGATTCTTGGTTTTTTTGTTTTGTTTTTTGTTGGGGTATTTTTAGTGTGTGTATGTGTATGTATGCGTGTGGGTATGTGTGTATACAGTGGAGAGCAAATTGGAAAACAGTTTTATTTATCCTCCTCCTTACCCCAGTAGAAATAAAACAAATCTTTACATTTGTTACTTTTTATTTTTTCTAATGATGCACAGAATTAATGAAAAGTGAGTATCTTGGATTTCAAATCAGGAGATTTTACCCTTGGAAGTTTGGTTTTAATTTGCTTCGTTAACATATTTCTCATACATTTTTCTGGGTTTAAAATGTCTTGAGATATTTTGTCACCAGCTTCATGCTGGCATAATGGGTAGCATATCTTTGGTGCAGTTGCCTTAGATTCACTTACCTAGTTAGACCCAGAGGAATTTCTTCTACCAGTTTTTGTCCTAAATGCCTTGTTTTCTCCCCTTTTGGTCTCTAAATGGCCTGGTTAGCCTTTGGTAATGCTCTTCCTCATCTTGCATCTACCCTGAGAAGGATGTTCTCCATATAGAGTTAAGCGAGTGCCTAATCCCTCTTTTTGTAAGATTGTTCCCACATCTTGAGGAACAACAGCTCCATCTTCAACTTCTTATTCCTTTGATTTTACAGTTTGGTAGATTTCAAACTGGAATAGCTAGCATGTGCTTGCTAATAATTTTATGCCAGCCTTACCCTGTATCCTAGCTGTTCTTAATAGCAGGTGCAAAAATGCCTCTTTTTCAGCAAGGTTGAAATTGGGAGTGTCCTTTTGAATCAGAAAAAATGGGCCATAGACTCATTCCCCAGCACAAATGGGCATTCTGTGAAATGGTACTGGCCCCAGGAGGATTTCTTCAACCACTCCTCTACTCTTGGCCTTGAACCTACCTCTGGATTGGATCTTACTATTGTAGCTGCTCATAGCATCCTCCTGCATGCTTAGAGTAATGCTTTGGGGGAACACTGGTAAAACACAGTATTTATTTTTTCACCCTCCTTTCAGAGGACTTGGAGGTAAGTTGCATTCATTCATTGATGCTTCCCTCTTGCCGTCTTATAAAAGCTTGCACTTTGTTATATCAGCATTTGTTATAGCCAATATTTAAGGATAAGATTTAGAAAGCCTGTCATGGCCCATCATCAAACTATGGCTTAACCTTGCAGCATATCAACTTTTGTTTCAAGCTAGATATCTTTATTTGATATCTCTAGTGCAAGACCAACATATCAAGAGATCTATAGACATGAAGGCAAAGGTCTTGTATTTTTTTCCATCCAGACACCTCAATTTATTTTATACATTTGTTGATTTTTCCTGTTATGTTTTATATAATATATGGAGTTAACTACAAAATAAAATAACAGTAATAAAATAACAAAAGAGGATAATATTTCCTCTTGTGCTTCTCTTTTTGTTGTCTACAGAATTTACTACTTTTGTATTTTCCCTCTGCTCCTCACCCCCAAATGAATTTCAACCTAGTCTTTTTTTGAAATTATGCTTCATCCATTGTTAGATCAGTAGCTCTACATGGTCTACATAGTCCAGAATGCTGTTCCTCTGACTGTCCCCAAAGGGCACATTGTGGGGCAGAGAGAGTTAAGGGGACTTCAAGTGGTTAGGGTAGTATACGAAATGGGGGGAAGAAACACTCATGTGGAATTCAGGAGAATTGGATCCTAGTCCAAACTCTGGCATTAACCGTATGACCTTGGGCAGGTTACCTAACCTAATGACTTTGAAATTCATCATCAGTCAAATGAGATGTTTCCAAATCAACATTTCTTCTGCTCCTGTAGTTCTGTGAATCTCATTTCTGAAAATCCTCAAGGAGGTATTTTATCATTTTTTCAGAAATGTCTTTTTATCAAATACTCATAAAAGTTCTTTGTGTGTTTATACTTCTTCCGCTTTTACGTTTTGATCATATTTTAACTGCTCACCCAGAGGAGCTCTGGTCAGTATTTCCTTTTATCCTGTTGACAATAACTCTTAATGGCTGCCCTCTCTTGTATACAATGAGCCAATACTCTTTTTTGTTTTATATTTTCATACCTTCCCTTTTCCTGGACAAAGCATATCGAGATCCTGACTCAACCCAAAGAAATGTTCCTGCCTTCAGAGTGAGTAGGCATAGGTAAGAATGTGGATGAAACTTCTATAAATTGTAGTGTTCTTGGCATAAATATGAATTATATAGTTTTTTTAATATGTGAAGTAGTTACTAAATATTTACTTTTTACTAAGGTTATGTATTTATTGCCAAGATAACTATGGAAGAATTTTCTGGGGAAATTCACCTTAAAATTTTGAGATAATTCAAGAAATGTCTATAGAAGGTTGATTGATAATCTTAATTTTTATGGTTAGTCCTTTCAGTTTTTATAAAGCTCCTCATTTATCTGTTTTGGGGAAGCCCAAAGTTTAAGTAGTTGGGACCTTATATTTGTTTTACCCTTATTTTTCCCATTAAGTAATGGTTTAAGAATACATCAAGCATCTTGATTTGTTGTTAAATAACTAGTATTTATGGGATTCCATTAAATTAATTTTAATAAGCCTACCAGGTTCTTGTGAAAACCCATATTGGGATGTGTTTGATTTGTTTCTTTGTTTTAATTCAGTGTTTAACCCTAAGGGTGTTATATATCCATAAATACAATATTATGAGAAGACATAGTGTGGGATAGGGACTTCTCTGGTGGTGCAGTGGTTAAGAATCCATCTGCCAATGCAGGGGACATGTGTTCGATCCCTGGTCTGGGAAGATCCCACATGCCATGGAGCAACTAAGCCTGTGCGCCACAACTACGGAGCCTGCGCTCTAGAGCCCATGAGCCACAACTACTGAAGCCCTCACGCCCTAGAGCCCACGTGCCGCCACTGTTGAAGCCCATGTGCTCTAGGGCCTGCGTGCCACAATTACTGAGCCCATGTGCTGCAACTACTGAAGCCCACGCACCTAGAGCCCGTGCTCTGCAACAAGAGAAGCCACCGCAGCCAGAAGCCTGTGCACCGCAACAAAGAGTAACCCCTGCTCACCACAACTAGAGAAGGGGCACACGCAGCAATGAAGAACCAGTGCAGCCAAAATTAATTAATTAATTAATTTAATTAAAAAGACATAGTATGGGGCTTCCCTGGTGGCGCAGTGGTTGAGAGTCCGCCTGCCGATGCAGGGGACGCGGGTTCATGCCCCAGTCTGGGAAGATCCCACATGCTGTGGAGCGGCCGGGCCCGTGAGCTGTGACTGCTGAGCCTGCGCGTCCGGAGCCTGTGCTCCGCAACGGGAGAGGCCACAACAGTGAGAGGCCCGCGTACCGCAAAAAAAAAAAAAAAAAAAAAAAGACATAGTATGGAATAGTAGGAAATGCACAGGTTTTTAGATAGAGGTCAGTTCCATTACCTACTATGTTATAATCTTTCCAGTAGGGCTACTGTAATGCACAACTTGGGGGGTTCACCATTCATATTTGTTGTGTCCCAGGGGTTGCCATTTTCATAGATTATAATGTGACTAATGCCCCTATATTAGTATAATGATGGCCTTGCTATCTGAGCCTGTTTCCTCCACTGTAAATGGTCCCTGAATCAAACAGGGTTCCTTAGAACTCCCTAAATGATTAAGGTGAAGATGAAAGATGATTAAAGTGTGTGATCTCCCAAGCCATGGCAGAAAGGAGCTTATATTTCTAGGCACAGCAAAGCTCCATTCTACACTGCCACCCTCCTGTTCAGTCCGTATTGTTCTGCCACACAGAGTTTGCCTAGATTATCATAGCCCCCTTACTGGGCTTGCTTATGATTCACTTGCTCCAATCCATCCTTTACATAGGAGCCAAACAACCTAAATTTCATATCTGAGCATGTCATAGCCTTACATTTATCTCCAACATGCCACTCTGTTTCAAGCTTTCATCCTTTTGCACATATTTTTTTACTGTAGTACAGTATTGAGATTACTTGATTTTCTTTATAGTTTTCCCATCTAGATTGTGAGCACGTTGATGGCAGTTATTGTGTCACACATCTTTTATTCCCAATATCTAGCATAGTGACAACATGTAGTCTACTTACAATCATAATAACTAACATTTACTGAATAGAGTTATCTCATTTAACTCTCAGTTCAGTGGGGCAGATATTATGGTCTCACTTTTAAAGTGGAGCAAAAATGGTTTAGGGAAGTACCAACACAACTAACAGGTGAGAGAACCAGAATTCTAATCTAGATCTATCAAATTCCAGAGTTTAAATTCTAAACATCACCCCACACCATTCAACAAATATTTATTGAAATAAAAATTATGTTTTTGTGGCCTCTAGATGGATATCCTCATCAAATATCACTCAATATTAGCCTGAAAGTCAAATTTTAAGGATTACTCAGTAAGTTTGAGGGTTTTTTTACAAGTAGGATTTGTAATTTTTGTATATATTCAGGAGTTGAGTTTTATGAACTTAATAATTGGGTATTTTGCAAACCTGGGACGGGATCTTTGACGGTGGTATATGGGCAAAAATTCTTAGGTTACATATGTTAATCTTGGCACTGGTGTTCTCAAAATTTTGCATCCTTTTAGGGTTACCTTGTTAAAGAAAAATATACACTTGAACAAGGTGGTGATGAATTTATCCTGCAGCCACACTTTTTTTTAATGTGTTTAAGTCAAACTAGCCCACAAAAAAAGTAGAACTAATAAATGAATTCAGCAAAGCCGCAGGATACAAAACCAACACACAAAAGCAGCTGCATTTCTATACACTGACAATGAACAATCCAAAAAGTAGATTAAGAAAATAATTCCATTCACAATAGAATCAAAAAGAAAAAAATACTTAGAAATAAACTTTACCGAGGAAGCAAGAGACTTGTACATGGAAAACTACAAAATATTGTTTAAATAAATGAACTGACATCCCATATTCATGGATTGGAAGACTTAATGTTGTTAAGATGTAAATACTACCCAGAGAGATCTACTGAGTCAATGCAATCCCTATGAAAACTCTAAAATTTTTTGCAGAAATAGAAAAACCCATTCTAACTGTTGGTGGGAATGTAAATTGGTGCAGCCACTATGGAAAACAGTATGGAGTTTCCTTCAAAAACTAAAACTATAACTACCATATATGATCTAGCAATTCCACTCCTGGGTATATATCCAGAAAAAATAAAAACTCTAATTCAAAAAGATACATGTACCAGCACTATTTACCATAGCCAATATATGGAAGCAACCCAAGTGCCCATCAACATATGATTGGCTTAAGAAGTTGTGATACATATACAATGGAATATTAGTCATAAAAAAGAATAAAATATTGGCATTTGCAGCAACATGGATGCACCTAGAGAATATTATGCCTAGTGAAATAAGTCAGAAAAAGATAAATACTATATGATATCACTCATATGGAATCTAAAAAATAATATAAGTGAATCTATATACAAAACAGAAACAGACTCAGACATGGAAGACAAACTTAGGTTACCAAAGGGGAGTTGGGAGAGGGACAAATTAGGAGTATGGGATTAATAGATACAAACTACTATACATAAAATAGGTAAGCAACAAGGATTTACTGTATAGCACAGGGAATTATACCCAATATCTTGTAATAACTTAGAATATACTCTGAAAAAAAAATCTACTATGTTATACAGCTAACACAATATTGTAAATCAAATATACTTCAGTATTTTTAAAAAGTTATAAAAAGAACATAAAGTATTCATGCTAAGGAAAACAAAGAAAAAGAAAACTCGTTCTAAAATTCATATGGAATCTTAAGGGGTCCCAGATATCCAAAACAGTTGAAAAAAAGAAAGTTGGAGGACTCATTTCCTGATTTTAAGACTTACTACAAAGTTACAGCAAGCAAAACAATGTACTGACATAAAGACAGACATACAGAGCAGTGGAATAAGTAGAGACCCCAGAAATAAACCTTTATATGTATGGTCAAATGATTTTTGACAAGTGTACCAAGACCATTCGATGGGGAAAGAATGGTCTTTTCAACAAATGGTGTTGAAAGAACTGTATATCCACATGCAAAAGAATGTGGTGTACTTTACACCACAGACAAAAATTAACTCAAAATGGATCAGAGACCTAAACATAAGACTAAAACTATAAAATCCTCAGAAGAAGACACAGAGGGAAGCTTCGTGAGTTTGAATTTGGCAATGATTGCTTTGATAGATGACACCAAAAGCACAGCCAAAAAAGAAAAGGTGAATTGTAGTGTATCAAAATTAAAAACTTGTGTATCAAAGGATACTATCAAGAGAATGAAAAAGCAACTCACAGACTGGGAGACAATATTTGAAAATCATATATCTGATAAAGGATTAATATACACAATATATAAGTAACCACAACTCAACAAAAAACAGCCTAATT